ACCCTATCTTTATATTAGATTAGTAAGATGAGTTCGCATTCCAATGACAATGGAATGGCAAATATACTAAAAGCGCATCTGATGAGAAGTGGTAACCGTCGTCTTTAGACAAACAGTGCAATGTACGTCACAGAATATACTATGTTTAAATGGTTTAGTCCAGTGGACAAAGGTAACAGGGTTGTCAGATGTTTTATTTTTATGCAAATGTCAAATATTTTTTCTCTAAATCCATACGATTTCTTTACTTTTACCCAAGATTTTTTATTACACACTTTACTACGTTTTGCCACGTAGTCACAAAACAAACTATGAAAAAAATTAACCTTTCTATTTTAATACCCGTATTAGTACCAAATTCCCCAAATATCTCCTAACCCATTTCGCTTTTCTCCATACATTTCTCCATAAAATTATTACTACAAAAAAAAAAAAAACAAAACAGGAATAATTTATCCAAAATTACAAAAACATTTCCATGGCAACCCTGGTATCAGTTATCGTATCATCTTCTTTAGTCAAGTAATAAACGAATCTACCAATAGAAATATTATCGTTAGTGCTCGCCTGACAAGAAACAGGACACCAGGTGTCGCTTCCTCGCTCTACCTCATTCCTCAGCAGCGATAACATATATTGTAATAGTCTTTTGCCACTTGTCACTGGGATTGGATGTTCATAATACTATCACCAATTCTTCTCAACAAAAATAGATAAGTTAGTGGCACTCGTGTAGGCAAGTCACACAAAACTGTGTATTAGGCACAAAGTGTACCATCATCATCGTCATCATATCAGTCATTATTTGTCCACTGCTGAACATAAGCCTCCCCCATAGACTGCCATAAGGATTTTTTTTTAATTTTGAACCTTATTCTAACGCAATTATATGTGACAAATGTTTCGTTTTTTTTTTGCGCTTTATATGGTAATGAATTAGCTCGTATTAGACACCCCTCAGTTCCAATCCCAATATCAGTCAAATCACATCCAGCTTATCGATCCATCAGGCGGGGCTAGTAAATCTAATAAGAGTTTTTTGTCCGACGCGAAACGAATGAGGTAAAACGTGTTTGAAATAGACAGGGGATTAAGTGTCCCCTCGCGATCACACGAGGGTTGCACACGCTGCGCCATCAGTTATACGTACCTAGTGCGTGCCGAGTGCGCGGTCTTGCGGATCGCACGGATCACTTACAGCCAGATCGATTACCTCATCTTAGATATAGTCGGAGCAGTCAGGCCAAACTACAGACATCCTAAGAACACTGATCTAAAGTATAAAATGAAAATAAACTCTTATAATATACACCATTAGGTCGAGTTTCGCACGTTAAAAATACCCGCGGACAAACTGGCAGCTCGTAAACCCCGAAGACACGTCTCGGTAAAAAGTCGTGGAAGGTAGGACAAACAGGCGTCTTGGTTAACAAGCGTCGCAGGCTCAGGTACAAACAGCTGGTTCGCTGAGGGCATTGTGTTGTGCGCCCGCGATCCCTGCGGAGCGGCAACAGCGCGTGGACCTCGATGTTTGTTTTATAGCCCTCCTACGCGGGACCATGGTTCGTTCGAGCTTTCTTAAGTTTCCATTTAAAGTTCGTACTATTTGGCAAATTCTGGGATTTTGGGTAATATTTAATTTGATTTAGGTACTAATCTATACTTCAGTTGTTAAACTTTATTAATTCTGTGTCACTGTTTTTAATAACATAAAAAGCGAACGAGCTTGCTGCTCCCTTGATTATGAGTAACTACCACCACCTCTGAGCAACCATAACATCAAAGACATTACAGGTGTGCTGCCGGCCTTTTAAAAAGTAATATGCTCTTTTCTTAAAGGTTATGGAGTCGTATCAGTTCGGAAATACTGCTACTGGTAGTTGATTTCAAAGCGTGCTTATGCGTAGAAGAAAGTGCCTTGAAGAACTTATTGAAACAAGTTTAATAAGAGGGAGGTATAACACATTAGTGTTCAGAAAAAAAGGGTCTCCATTATACAGGGTTAGTCGAAATATTCGTATATTTCGACCCTTTATAGTTTTTTATTATTTTATTTAATCTATTTTATATGTTCTTACAACATAGCTGTAGAAACTAGGACGTCTGCGAATTTATATTAGATAAATATCAAAATATCGAATTATTATTCGATATGTATAACTCATCTAAAATAAAACTATAGTTGAAAAATAAAAGATCATTAAAATTGGTTTTAAAACCAACTGTGTGATCATAATTATCTTTGATGTAGTCCTCTCTTTTTTTAAAACCGTTTATCAAATCTCAAATGTGATGTTCACTATGTTGTAAAGGCAAGTATGGTTCAATGTTTATGGAAGCGAACAAAGGTACAATGCGGGCTTACAAGGAATGTACAACAATAACAGATGAGCGTACACCATGAGCGTGATACCATTATAATGGCTCCATATGAACAGAACGGTTCGTGGTAGTAGGAAAATAATTCTCGTATTCAGATTTCCAATACCCGAATCGAACACTCGAATGTTTTGCCCATACAAAACTTTTTAATATATACCGCGTGGTCATCTGATCAATGATGAATGAAATGTTTAAATTATATCCAGCCGATGGCCCAACTGATGGATGTCGCCTCTAGACTTGTATAGCACAGTATAGCAGCGCTTGTAGTACTCCTCTCGCTTTTTTTATTTTTCAGGAATAAGGTCTTTGTATACAATTTATTCTTATATTTATTCTTTATTGCTCAATAAAACATTTGTACAAATGTCAAGCTTAATGCCATATGACATTCTCAGGTTATATGTATGTCTGTTTGCTTCTAAATTAAATAAATATTTCATCCTTAAAAAAATTCTACTTTTTTATACAAAAAATAAACTACAGTGGTATTTACACATAATTGTATGTTATTAAAGTATTAATATGTACGTATTGATCGATCAACAACCTAATTGAAAATTCATAACTCAAACGTGAAACACTAAGTACAGCGCCCGCGTATAACACGACGACTCCGATACCGGCGCACACCGGACACGCCGCTTCCTCGCCCGTACACGTCCGCCTACGACGCTCGCTTCCTGTCAGTCTGGGCACGCACCCACGAGAACAGCTGATGCTGTATCTGTATCAGTATTGATACGTCTCGTAAAAATAGTTCGGGCCCGATATCGGATGCGAATCTCGTCAAATATAAAATGTCAAGTTGACGAGGTTATAAAATTCATCAATTTTGTTATAAAAAGAAAAAATAAATTATATGTGTAAGTAAGTAGTACTTCATGTTTATATTCCACAAAAAATGACGATAAAATTAATGTGGAAGTAACTTTGGAGTAAAACTTGTAGATTGCAAAGATTATTATTAAAAATTTATCGAAATAAATTCTGAATTGGTATCGAATGTATGAAACACACACGAAAAGATATAGGTTAATTGAACGAACTTACGAACAGTTAATAAAAACTAAACATTTTGTCATTAATTTCAACTCTAAAAATCGCTCATTAGGTACAATATTTTTGCAGTAAAAACTATCAAAATATCAACTATCTAGAGACCATGTTACAGTATAAATGATATTAAAATTCAACTAATTAAAACACTACTCAGAAGTTTGCATGCAATCAAACTAATCTTCATTCAAATTCAGAGTGAAAACTAAATCAGTCACGTGTCGCTCAATCTGTCGCTCTCAGCTCGATTGTTTAGGGGCCTACATGTAACGGTGCCTTTGATGTGCGCCTAACGTTGACAGATACGTAGGAAAGGAAGTTGTGCGAGCAACCGCTCGTACGCCTATTTAATCTCTCTGCTTTGGGAGCTCTCTCTCTGAAATCAAACATTATTAACACAAGTACATGCATGTGTATATAACGGTAGCTAAAATAAGGAAATAAATCTAAGGTTTTTAAGCGTCTTTAGATTGTAGGCGATACTTAATTGGCCTGTATTTTTTAATTTTGCTAATTCTTTTTGCAATCTATAGGCTTTACCTGCTCCCGTGTTAGTTCCATATTAAGTTTGCCACGATTAAAATAACTGTTTTTTTTTGCTGCGCAGAATCCTAAATTTATCATCATCTAAACAACTTTGTGTATTGTATTTGAATTTGTCATTTTATACATACTACGTGCTAGAATAGAAGTATATTTATCATGAAATTAAAAACTGGTATTATAAAATTTGGCTCGAGACTTTTGCAATCGAAATAGTGATTATCGTTAAATCTTATGACATCTCTACCAGTATGAACTCGAATAGAATTTCAGCTTTGCTAAAATTAAACGAGAAACAAGGGCGTCTTTATACCAGATCGTCTGCATTTGTAGTTTGTGCAGCTTTCTTGCATGCTATGTTTTAGTTTATTCTTAAGAGGTATGGTAGTGGTGTTCTTAGATAATTTGATTTAAAGACAAGTGTCGGCAACGTGCAAATAAATTCCATAATTTTCTCGTATTCGTTAGTTACTGTGATCAGGGAGAAAGAGATTGATAGTAATGGGGATCTAGTAACCCCATCGCTAGCATCATACTCCATCAGGTCGCCCTCCACGCGATTCCCCCTGGAAACCATTTTGGTTAACTACCCTGCTTTCATTCTCACTTATCATTCTTCACTAATGCCTCGCTAGCGTATACCGATAGCGCATGCGGGGTTCCCATTCCATTATTATCCACGAAAAAAATTGCTGTGGGCGCTTACTATCTAGCAGCTCGTATTCTACTCTCATTTTCTAAAAACAAAACACTTAAAGATAATGTATTCTAATATAATGGACTCGTATATTTGATGTATCCTTGGTGAACAGGCCATCACTCAAATTGAAGAAAAAATAAACCCGATTATTTCGAAAAATACGCATAGTACTCGAAGCGATGATTGGGCGCTAGAATTAGGCATCATATATAGCTCGATAAAGCTCGTTTAGATGTCGCTTGAACGACATTTCCGCAGCCCAATTTGATTTTTCAATACCTGAATACGATTAACGCTATATGTATGTTGTCCATAGGTATGTGTTGAATCCGAGGCGCGGAGTGCGCATGCGCCGGAGCCCCGTGGGAACGAAGCGCGCTTCCTCGAAGTGCGGCGTGCGGCGCGCTCGACCACAGCGTTGGGTTACTGTCCACCGAGCGGCGACCGGTTCGATAGTTTTTTACGGGGAAATAGAACCAAGAACCAGTTACGGCTGCGATAACATGGAACTGAACCTATTTTCGTGGTGTTCCATACTTAGCCATAAAATCACTTTATAACTTATACATTGCACGTAATACAATGGTGGAGATTCTCAATTTGATTTTTTCTGTTACCCTCAGAAAAGTGTCGTTGTTCATTGATGTATTTCATTCGTTTTCAAGATAACATTAATTTTGTCTCGAACTATGGAACTGTTTGTTATACATTTAAAATCAATTTGTTTTATAAAACCATCGATTTCTGTAGGTTTTGGTTTTAAATAGAGTGCGTCGCTTTTTTGTTTGCAAAAGTGTGTTTTTGTTGCTTCTATTTGATATCTTTGCAATAACAAAATATAATGGCCTAGACGCCTCAAATATATAATAAAATTTTTCAAAAGTATTTTAAGATGTCGCGTTCTGAAGATAATCATCATCATCGTATCAGCCGTTATCTGTCCACTGCTGAACATAGGTCTCCCCCATAGACTGTCATAAGTAACTGTTCAGAGCCACTTGCATCCACTAATATTAATATTATTAATAAATGCCACACAATCACACCAACTGCCTGATCCTCAAGCTCCTCGTTCTATGAGGAACCAAGTAACGAACATCTGGAGGCAAACCAAAAACACTCAGACTCGAGCCAAATCAGAAAAGTTTTTTTTTCTTAATTGGCCCAACCGAGAATCGAACTCAAAGAAAGATCAACTATAGATGTATTCATTTACTACGATTTCTCGTATTCAATATTGCTCAACAGATGATGGTAATTACAAAATTTTAATAGTGAAAATTTTGCAATCACGAAAGCTAAAATACCATCAATCTCACGTAGGTGTGGCGACCATTAAGTGAGACGAATAATGACCACTCATTTATATTCTGTTGTCCCATCCGACGGAATCCCTCCACTCCAATGTATCACCGCAACAAAATTCCATCTCGGAAACTGGGTTACCTTGGATGTATAAATTATTCATATGACTTACTTCTAAGCAAGAGGCGTTGTCGGAAAATTTTTATCCTAATACAAACAGCCGTTGAATCGGGTTATGCCACTGAAAAGCTTTTCGTTCGTTTATAAACAGCATCGGCTTACAAACGGTTAGCACTAGTAAAATGATACTAAATGGTATGTTGGTAGAAACACCCAGAATGACAAGACAGACGACGAAAAGTGATTCTCGTTTCGCTTCACACGAATTGAAACACGGTGATTTAATGACCGCACGTTTTCCCCTTAATAACGAAGAATCGCATGAAACTGCTGGTCTACCATGAAATGCAATTCCGAATTTTCGGATTCAATTTCGTATTTTCATTCATACAGAAGTCGGTCCAGTAAATGGACCTTTACATTTTGTTCGTCATAAATTGTACCATAGAAGTCCAAAGGAACGGTATTTTGAACATTTTCAATTTTTTTAAACAGTAGGTAATATATAATTTTAACATCAAACTTGTATTTCGTTCGGACTCGAAATTTCGGAAAACATTTCATGGTAGGCCTTCTGTTCACAACTTTGGGTTTGGTAAGTGTTTATGTCGCTTTAATAATGGTTTTTATATTACATTTACTTTTCTTACTCTATTATTCTTCTTTGAATTTTTACTCTACCCTCAAATATATATATTTAATGTGTCCAATAAAATAAACATCTTACCACCCGTATCAAACAGCGAGGACATAATACCTGAACGAATGCACCTCCAACTATAAAAAATGGTTTTTCGTATTATGCACGGACGTCAAAAAAAATTCTATTAGAATTGAAAATATTTGGCAAGAGGAAAAATATTCCATGGTTATATAATTTTATATATATGTACGTACATAATTCAAAAGGAATCGTCATAATCGATCCACAATTAGAGAAAATATTGCATTAAAAACTAAAATTAATTATATATAGTCTTGTTAAAAAAACTCAAATTATAATTAGCATGCTTAACATTATTTGAATTTGCAACTGTTTATGTATTCCATAAGAACTTTGTCATTACCTATTCAAAGCAAATATTCTTATTATATACAAATAATCTATACTTATAACAAATCTGTAGAGAGGTTAATTCTGTACATGAAATATATTTTCAAAATAACTATCAGGGGGTGATTAGTGGTCGATACTGATGCCAAAAATGCAATCAGTAAAGTTTTTGTCTGTCTGTCTGTATGTTCGTTATAGAAACAAAAACTACTCGACGGATTTTAACGAAACTTAATACAATTATTCTTCATACTTTTATAGGCAGGTTATAGTATACTTTTCATCACGCTGCGATCAATAGGAGCAGAGCAGTGAAGAGAAATGTTAAAAACGTCCACCCGTGCGTCGCCATGACGGGCCGCTAGTACAAAATATAATTGAGAACCAGCTTCTTTTTTGTTCATACTAATGGATTATTTTATAATTTCTACTTTTTAACATGCTTCAAAACAAACGACTTGCTTTTCAAAATAAAGGAATGAAATGTTTGGTGATATTAAAAGGTCATTTAAGAGTAAAATCTGCTATTGCCCAGTCATAGATTCCTACGAAGAAACATTCAAAGAATTTCTATTCAAGCCTCAGTTCATGCTGGTAACTTACAATCGGCAACATGTGGGCAACTGTAGCGAAAGTTTAAAATCTTAAAGCATAATGACTTCCAAACAAAAAGTCTTTCCCTATTGGTCAAGGGAAGGAAAAGGTTGAACCAGCCATAGCGAACACGTTTAAAGGAGATTTTTGTTGAATGGTCATGCGTGACTATCTTTGACAGTACGTACGATAAGTAATTAACTGGATATTGCTATACGTACATAAAACAAATTCATAATTCAGATAATCTGTTGCGTACTACAATTTGTAAATTTCATTGTTAGATAGTTGAAAACAGCGGGTCTACCATGAAATGAAATTCCGAAATTTCGGACTCAATTTATACCCAATAAATGGAGTTTAACATTTCGTTCGTCATACATCCTATCGTAAAAGTCCAAAGGAACAATATTTTAACATTTTTAATATTTCTAAAAGGCATGTATTATGTAATTTTAACGTCAAATTTGTGTTTCGTTTGGCTCCGATATTTCGGAAAATATTTCATGGTAGGCCCTTTGTTTACACTTTATCCACGTATGTAATACCATATCAGTCGTTAATTGTCTATTGCTGAACATAGGCCTCTCTCTAATGAGGGGTTTTGCTAGTAGTTGCCACGTTTGGCAGGGGGGATAGTAACCGCAGTTAGGGCTTGAAGATATTTTAAAAGGAATGCTGCTGCTCATCCTTCGACCAGGTTCCCTTAATCGCTTCTTTCCACGGCAAAGGAAGAGGTGGCCTATTTTATGCCGGGACGCGTAACAATTTAACTGTTTACACCACAGCTAAAGAAAATAAGGATAGGCAGCAGCGTCCCTCTTAAACACCTCTAAACCCAGACTGCGGTTGCCAATCCACTTGCCAAGCGTGGCAACTACTGGCAAAATCCCCCCAAGGGGGAGGCTTATGTTCAGCAGTGGACGGTTAGGGGCTGATGTAATGATGTTAAAGAAAATAAATGAATTGCCTTATTTCGACGAGAGAAAAGTCCGATATCTCGATAAGCATTAAAATTCAGGAATAGCCGCGCGCCGATAGACGGGGGTTTATAAATAAAAAATGGAGTTCGTTCACACCGCTTTTATGACAAGTACGCAAGAAGTATAGTGCAGCGTGTTATTATTCTAAGGCAGTACAATTATATGACGGGTAACGGATGACCCCGGGCAGCCGGCAGTTCGCCTGTAACGTAATATTAGCTCTCGTTCGCCGAACTATAAAGTATATGAACGCCATCGCCTTGTCTTGTATGCATATTATGCGCGTAAAGATCAAAGGTGTTGTATATGTAATTCAGGGTTGCCAACGTTTAAAATTAAATATTTTAAATAGACAAATATCCATTCACAAATCGACGTATACGGTTAAGGAAATAGAACAATGTGTGTTCCACTATATTATTAGTATTGCAAAATTTGTACTGAGCAAACAAGAAAAAAAATCAATGAAAGTGTTATAAAAAATATATGTATAAAAACCTTACACAGTTATAATACCGCACGCAGGGGGGAAAGGGATTGCTAATAATGGAGACTGAGAATCCCATTGCTAGCAATATACCCAATCAGGTCGACGTCCTCGCGGTTCTCCCTGTAAACAATCATGTTTAATTCCTGACGAATTCATCATGATGGTCTAACTGGCCTGTTTTCATTCTCATCTATCACCGTTCACTGGTGCTCCGCCAGCGTATCCCGTTAGAGCAGGCGGGGTTACCGTACCATTTTCACCCATCAAAATACCACATGCATGCTCAATCCTGTGCGTGTATATCTACATACGGACAGACATACGCCACGACTTCCTTTACTAGACACTGTGTATAAACAATTTATAACTAATAATAGTTGCATTAAAATGTACATCCTCTCACTTTTACTTTCAACAAAAAATTCAAATATATTAGTTGCGTACATTACAATTACAACGAATGATACTTATAAAGACATCGCGGAATTAAACGGAAACGGATATTCGGCCGGTGAATTGTAATTCGTCGATAACTTGTTGAATATGCAAGTGACGAGCCCCGAAATACGCAGACAGTCATACACCCGTAAAGGTTAATCACATCTCTCAGCTGGCAGCGTCGGCGAGCATTACGTACGAAATACCAACTTCTGCACATGTATGGAACGCAAATGTATCATTTTACTCTTAGCCGAGTTCAATTTCAGTTTGGATTGTCGTTAACTTTTTAACTGGAGGTTTGAAATGGCTGGCTGCGCTTTTAAGAGTAAACCATTGTGTTTAATGTGCGGTTCACGCGGTTCATTTTTTGCTTAGAAAAACTTGGATGTCGAACTCGTCTGTTGGTAAGACAGAGTCTCGGAAATTATAAATTTAAATCAACACATTTTTTACCTTCTAAAGTATTTTGTTACAGTGAGGATTTCCTAAGCTCATTAGTTATATTTCTACGCAAATACAATATTAGCTTGACTTTCTGAAATAAAAGAATTAAAATTTTCCTAAATTGTTTTAGGGTAATAAACTTATTTCAGTACCCAATTTTATATATTGTGGAAGAAAGAGAGGTCAGTGAATTTTGAACTGAAAAATTGATAATTCAAATTCAGGCTTGTGACATAAAAAGTTGAGTATTTATATATTTTTATAAAAAGTTGAGATTGTAACGAAAGAAACTCTAGTTTCCGCGGACAAAGCTGCAATAAACAGCTCGACATTATACGTAACTATAGAACAGGAATGCCTGGTTACCTAATGGATATGTCAATAAGAAATTGTACACCGGTTGAATTGAATTACAGTCCCCCACGTCACAACCGCATTTATACACTTTAAATATTTATAATTGGATATCTCTCGAAAGGGTTCTATTGAAAAGAAAAAAAAAACATCTTTTCACGCTTGTGTTTTTAAATTACACTTTAAATATTATGGTATGGTGTCATTGGACACCATTATTGCGTCAAACCTTCAAAGGAAATTCAAGTCTCTCATCACAGAATTCAAAATTCTGTATACTTGTTATTTCGTAGTTATAATCATTGTAATTATATCTATTTATTGAAAATATTTTTTTTATCAATTTAAATATTTTTACTTTAAAATTATGTGTTATATAATTGTTTTAAAAATAACAAAAACAATATAGTTTTCTTAGAAAATTGTCGTGAAAACGGTTATACCAATCTTTTATAAGCACTCGATTTTAGATAGCTTTAACAGTGTATTTTCCTAAAAATCACGTTGAATGAAAATTTTACGCATACAAAAGATAAAAATACAGCGAATCATTCAAATAATATAGAAATAACAATAAAATAGTCAACGTTGTCTTATATCTAGACTATCTTAATTTTTCCTATAAAATACCGCGGGTTCCTAACATAGTATAGTATACAAACGTAACTATAAATAGGGCATTGGATGAAACATTTCCGGCGGTGCATCGTTGAACCCGCAGCTTTGGCGAGCTCTTCCCGTTATACTACATCTATTGGTAGTGTATATAGCACTCGACTGCAGTTAATGAAAGCTTTACCGCCCATATAAGCGGATAAGCACACTTTAATGTTAATAAAAATAGTAAACCTTTGATCTTACAACATATTTTAAGATATTTTAAACATTACGTATTAAAAAATAAAATTTATTTCGATTTAACATACATACTTTGCTCTTCATTAAAAAAATTATTTCTATAAATAAGTTATTTCTATCTATTGACAAATTTAAAGAAGAAAATGATGCATAAATAGGTACTAATTACTTTAGTAAAGTAGCAAAATTAAATGCAAAAATTACATTAAATTTAAATCGTTCAAGTTGAACGCGTTTAATTCCAATCAACTTAAACTAAACATTTCTGAAATTCCTCTTTTAATTAATACACCAATTTTACTTTCAATACATGGACCGCTTTGTAGAAACGGTCCTAACGTTTATTTTTTATTTCCTTACCTGTAAATGGAAAAAGTGATATTTCTTGTACTTCTTATAAACGATTGTACTGTTATAAAGCACGGAGCTATACGTGTACTTAAATCCATCCGCTTATCCACCCCTCTGAACAAGGAGGGGTAGGGATAAAAGAGACGGCGCGAACAACGTTTTTGCCGCCAGGGTAACAGAAGCTGGCTTAGGCGAAATTTTAACCTGCGGTCGAGCCCTTATACATAAGTGAAACAAATGTGTTTACTACTATTTAATTCAATTTAGAATTCACAACAGATTTATGCGTAAAGTTGATAGTTAATTTGATGCTGTCTGCATATTTTTTATCGAAAACCTTGTGTACAATATACATTTCGCAAGTCGAAATTATAACAAAATTTAATGACCGTCTAAATTTTTATGATTAGTTACAGTATTTAATGGCGGAAATTATATTATCCGATCACTAAACAATTTTCCTTGTAAATTGAAAATTTCTGCATAGATTTTTATAATTTTGTCGACAATTTCTTTATTATTAGTATCTATTTTGTTGTGAAAATTTAATCATTAATTTTGTTAGGATAAAAATTTAATTTTTTAACAAGAATGCGAGGTT